CTTTTCAAGATGAAGAAGTGATCAAGTTGAACAAGATTGTACTTTTGTTATTTTGTTTGTTTGATGTTTGAATGTTGAATATTTGGTTGTTTAATGTTTGATGGTTTGTTAGGATTTGAACACAGTTTGATGGTTTGTTGATTTGTTTGAATTTGAACACAGTTTGATGGTTTGTTGATTTGTTTGGATTTGAACACAGTTTGATGGTTTGTTGATTTGTTTGGATTTGAACACAGTTTGATGGTTTGTTGGTTTGTTTGAGATGTTTGATTTGTTTGAATTTGAACACAGTTGGTTTGTATGAGATGTTTGATGACTCTTTTAAGTTATTGAATGTTTGAAAGCTTAATTATGTATGAGATGTTTGATGGCTCTTTTAAGTTATTGAATGTTTGAAAGTTTAATTATGTATATATAAGTTCTATAATTGATCAATACATACAAGGTACAAGAATCATCAAATGACCAATACAAGAATCACTACCAAATTCACCAAACTCAAGAATTATTACTAAATTACCAAATTCACCATTACAAGAACTTCTAACAACTGAAAATTGATCAGTCAATTACTACTACCAAATTCACCAAATTCACCAAAATTCAAGAACTACAACCAAATTACCAAATCCACAATTACAAGAATTCCAATTCCTAACAGCTGATAATTAACCATAAACAAAACATTAGAAACAACATCCACATTCAAACAAAACATTACATATACCCCCTTTCTATGCCAATTTTCATGACATATATGGCAATGAACAGAAGTATGACCATAAAGACTCCAACTTGCAACTTCATCCTCTTATTGTACATTGCAATCAAACCCTCCAGTTTCTTGGCTCTTTTCTGAATAATCCTTCTTTCCTTTGCAAGTTCACCTTCTAGCTTGTTCAATTTTTCTTCTTTCTCTTTGTAACAAGCCACTTCACCTTCAACTTGGTTCAATATTTCTTCTTTCTCTTTGAAGCAAGCTAATTCAGCCTCTAGTTTGTTCACTCTCCTAAGCAGTCCGGGGATAATCATCTTGGATCTACCACATATTTCAGGATCCAACCACTTGAATACACCACAATAGGTTGATTTCTGTAACGAATCCCAAAACTTCAATCAAAAGAACGCATTTAACCCCATAATTTGTTCAAGCTTGAAATAACAAATCCAATATAATGTAATGAACAAATAAAAGGAAAGCATTTTACCCCATAATTTGGGCAAGCTTGGTATCTTCTCCCTGGATTGTCTGGCGTCCATGACGTAATCACTGGCAAACGAAATCCACATTTACAATTGATTGTGTAAAATGTTGAATGAGCATCAGAGCTCGTTGAGGATGAGCTCCGACAGCCATAATTAGATCCTTTACTCATATTTTATGCTACATCGAAAACATTGAGGTGAAATCAACACTACAAGTACACTAATTACCAAAATCGAAAATTGTTCAAATAAATAGAGGAAACTTACCAAATCGAAAATTGTTTTGCAATTGTGACGCTTTAACTACTCGGAGATTCAAAAACTTGGGAAGACGATTCTGCTATTTTGGAATTTCAACTCAATTGAAGGATTCGAAATGGGGTTTTAGGGCTTCGATTTACGGGTTAATTGGGGCATATGGAGAATTAGGGATTTTACAATAGAAATAGGGGAGGAGAATGACGTGTCGCTCCACATCACTCTTTGTCGGCCAAGTAGGCACTGGGTTTTGAACAGCTCGACATTTAACGGCCACATAGACGTCACGTGAGCCACGCGTGCAATTTCCGTCGAAGTTAGCTGCCGACGTTAACGGCAGAACATAAAGTGATCAAAAGTGGCAAGTTTAAGGACATATATAGCGGATTGAAATATTTGGGGACATAAATCGTTTTAGTGGTAAAGTTTAGGGACATAAACTGTAATTTTCCCTTAAATTTCACTTACCAATATTAATGCCGTCCATGCAACGCCAGCTCACAGTCTCTGTCTCTTACTTGTTTAAGTTATTCTCAACCACAACTTCAAATTTGGTGCACACGTGTACTCCTATTATTATAGCATGTTTTCTCAATTATTTAAAATAAAAATTAAAATAATCTTATATTTAATTCATTTACTACATTTACTCATCGTACTTTAATAGATGGGGCAATTTGCTATAGGTCCATCTATACTATAATTTATGTGTATAAATTCAAGTCAAAATTTAATATTTTAATAAATTAATAATATTTATTATGGCAAAAATACCCTTAATTAAATCAAATCAAATCCCAAAAAATCTCTCTATCAAAACAAATTCCAAACATATCTCTTTCAAACATTAACTAAAACAAATAAATTAATTCATAATAAAAATATACAATTTATTTTACAAACTCATACTCTAAAAACGCCACTGCAGCCCCACCACCGCCTATGATCCGGGAACTGCAACGCCTATGACTCCGCGAACTGCAAATAGCAAACTTAAAATTAGATTTTATATTATTGAATTGCAAACAAAAAAGTACATATGATTTCGCCAAATGCAAACAGCAAACTGAAAAAAAAAATCCATAATTTGTATTACCGAATTAGAAACAAAAAATTACCTATAACTTCGCCAAATGCAAACAGCAAACTGAAGAAAAAGATTCAGCAAAACTTGCATTATTGAGTTGCAAGCAATAAACTACATATATGACTTGGCCAAATGCAAACAGCAAACTGAAAAAAAATAAAAAAAAATTAGCATCATTAAAAACATTAACCAAAAAATTGTTTATGGAACAATTTGCAAACAACAAAAACATTAAACACAATGTTTGTATAATATAACTTAAGACATACCTTGCAAATTGTAAACCAGAGGAATCGAATCTCAACATCAAACGCAATTCAAAGAACAAACGAAGTTAAACCAACCTGGAAACGGAAACTGCTAACAACAAAAACGAGGGGAAGGTTCTACGTACGGGAGACACAATGTGAATTTTGACTATGATTTTGGGATTTCAGATTTTTTTTTGGGAGGGGATGTTTGTTGTTCTCTTTAATTATTT